GTGGAATAATAAGAAATTCCACTTCTCCTTACAACGCTCCACTGCTGATAGTGCCGAAGAAACTCGACGCATCCGGAAAAAGGAAATGGCGCGTAGTCAAGATTATCGGGCCCTTAACGAAAAGGTATAGGAGACGCGTATCCCCTCCCTAATATCACCGCCATCTTTGATAAGCTTGGGTCTGCGAGATTCTTTACAGTCTTCGATCTTGCAAGCGGATTCCACCAAGTCGAAACGCACCCAGACGATAGACACAAAACCGCTTTTTCGTCTCGAAATGGGCATTTCGAATATGAGCGCATGCCCAGGGAATTAAAAACGCACCTCCAACATTTCAGCGGCTTCTAAACAATGTTCTTGGTGGAATGCTCGATTCAGAAGCATTCGTGTATCTAGATGATATTATATCTATTCTGACACCCTTGAGAAACATGACAACGAGCGCGAAGATTGTACAATCGACTTCGAGACGCAAACCTCAAGCTCCACCCTGACAAATGCGAATTCATGAAAAAGGAAGTTGCATACCTTGGTCACATAGTGGGAGAAGATGGAGTGAAACCAAATCCAGCGAAGATTAGGCCATCAAACATTTCCCCGTGCCAAAAAACTCAGAAGGAAGTTAGAAGTTTTCTAGGTCTCTCAGGTTACTATCGACGCTTTATAAAAATTATGCTATGGTGGCGAAACCTTTGTCCGATCTATTGAAGAAAACGAAAGAGTGGAAGTGGAAAGACCAACAGCAGAGAAGTTTCAAAAAACTCCCGAAAATATCTGTGCAGAAGACCTATTCTCCAATATCCAGATTTTACGCAGCCCTTTAAACTCACAACCGATGCTTCGGAACACGCAATTGGAGCTATGCTGACGCAAAAAAAAAATGGTATTGACCTCCCTGTCGCATACTACTCTAAAGTGTTAAATGCAACTGAGCAAAAATATCTTAAGACAGAGAAGGAATGTCTTGCTACATTATATGCTGTGGAGCATTTTCGTCCATATCTATACAGTCAAAACAAGAATTTATTCTTTCATGTGACTGTGAACCAGTTCATTGGATAAGTTATGTGGAAAATCCTGGGAACTAGGCTCGAAAAGTGGCGACTTAAACTTCGAGGATACAGATACAAATTTGAGTATAAGCCAGGGAAAATAAATCGAATCGTTGAAGCCCTCTCAAACAACCCTGTTGATGATACCAACCCTCAGGACAAAGGGGATAGTATACAATCTACTGAATCAGAATGGTCAGAATCTTCCGAAGAATCTAATCAAGAGGAAGATCAACATTCCGGGCCACAAGATCCTTCACCCTCGGTACGAGCATTCCCATCACGCGAAGTCAAGCCGAAAAGAATGACGGTGCGCGAGTGAACCTGATTCGTCTCAGAATAAAATTAGTTCAACAGTTCCCCCACCAACTAAAATACTGACCCGAGCAACAGAAAAGACAACGAGTCTGAGACCCAATCCCACTTTCAAACTTCCATTGACCTCGAAATTGCCTACTGCAAACAAGCAATTACGAAACCCTTCATCCTCATCTTCTGAATTCCGAACAACAAGGTCCACCAGAGACACAATAAAAAAGGGTGTGTTTGCACCAAAGACAATTCTCTCAAGGCCAACAACAGTTCCCCCACTCAAACCTATACAAAAAATCCAAAAGATTTCTCAGCCACTGGAAAACTCTTAAACCCAAATCTGCCCGGTGCAAGAAAAAGAGGTAGACCTCTAGGAAGCACAAACATTAAGAAGAAAGAAGACGATTATGTTGTCCCTTCTAGCAGCAAAGTCACTGACCTAGACACTAGCTGTGTCGCAAGCAGAACACGAAAGAGGAAACGCGAATCTCTCACTGAGGCCAAACCACGAGAGGAAAGAGAATTCTCTTCGTCAGATGAATCCGCTACGGAAAGCGGAAACGAGGAAAATTCTGATCCTCCAGTTTTCCGAAAAAGCCATAGTGTATTTCCCAGCCTACCATTGCATCCCCCAATAAGACAATCTTCCTCCGCGAGTGACAACAATCTAAAACCAACCCTGCAATCTGAAACCCCCTTTTTTTTAAATCAATACACAGACGTTTATGTAGATGGCGCATGTTGTGATAATGGAGGTGTAAGACCACGTGCGGGAATAGGTGTATGGTTCGGACCAGATCATCCCTTAAATGTCTCCCGTAGATATCGAGGAAGGCAAACAAACAATGCCTCAGAGATTGAAGCTGCACGGAAGCCATCAGACAAGCAAAACGTGCTGGCATCGACCATTTAAGAATAAAAAACTGACTCCAAGGTTCTTTTACAAGGAATACAAGAATGGGTTCCAAAATGGCAAACAAATGATTGGAAAACAAACGAGAATAAACCAGTCAAAAACAAAAAGGCTTATGAACGTTTAGTTGACGCATTAAAGAACATAGATGTCATTTGGGAACATGTACCCGGTCATGGCGGAATAGATGGGAACGAGAATGCTGACTGCTTGGCAAGAGAAGGTGCCATGCTGGAGCCTGATTCCAGTTCTTCCGGCACCGAATCATCGGACAAAGAACAGGCTAATGAACTTCCGCTGGAACAGATAATCGTAACTGGATCTTCTCAACCTGTCTACAGCGAAGAAAGTTCTGAACTAGCCGAAGGAGCCAACCAAGAACAAGAAAATATCGCACCCGTTTCAGTCGACCATGAGAATTCTATTAATCTATCGATCAGAAAATTTGATGAATCTCTGCAACAACGAAGATTAAATCACACTAACAACACTCTGGCATGGGACCACGAAGGTATGGACAAAACTCCACGAAGAAAGGCTCACATTTCCGATGACGAAAGTGACGAAGAATACTTGGCATACCTAAAATCACTGGACCCTTGCCAAGGTCTCGACGATAACGTTTTCGAAGGGCGACTAAAAAGATTCCTTGAAGGTTTCGACAAGCATCGAACAAAAAGTCAAGAAACTACGGAGATACCGCATCCCGAATCTGGACCTCACTTGATATCGCAACCATCCCCATCTGCACTCCCCACCTCTGGAATTTTGAAAGATACACCGCTGACAAGCCGCGCCCCTTCCAAGAGAAAAGGAAGTGTAGTTCAATTCAAAGACATACCGGAAATAAGCGAAGTGCTAAATGTCAACGAAAATCTACCGATATTCACCCCGGCCCCTTTAACCTCTCCAGGGGCCCAATCTACCCCTTTCACTCAGTTTCGTGCCAGGGAGAATGAACTAGTGACCGACAATCGGAAACAAAAACCAAACATTGTGCCACGACAGTTACAAACTGAGAATGACAATTTGTCCCCTCCAAAGCGACATATCCCCCACTCCGCAACATCGGTAAATCTTAAAATCCCGGTCCTGGATTCGTCGTGTTCGTCATCCACGGAAAATTCAGATAATGAATGTGTGATTACCCATAATCCTCGCGATTCTGTGGAAAACTCGGAAAATGTTTTCCACGAGTGGACAGAACCACTAACGTATAAGAAAGACAATATAGCACATTTCATATCAGAAGATTATGAACCAATCGACTCAGTTGCAAAACTTTTAATTGCTACAGAGAAGATTGATTTTCAAGACATCCGGGATAACAAACCAGTGAAAGGTCAAGTCCATGTTACACTTTGCGGTCGATACAAAGTATACTCGATTGTAGTGAAAAAGAGACATTCGGACGAACTAGACTGGAACGACGTTACGACGGGGTTAAAGAACCTAAAGTACGCACTGACCTTAGACAATCAAACACACTGCCGTATGGCTAATTCGGGAGATTTGTTAGGAAGTTTGCCACAAACAACAATGGCGGGCATCTTAGCAGGAATATTCCGTGGTGGTGATATAAAGATCACTCTCTGCCACGGTAAAATTGAGGTTCCTGCTGAGATCCTGCGACCAAAAATCATTGCCGAATTTCATGCCAGTCTGATCGGAGGTCATAAGGGCATAACAAAGACATACCGTCGAATTAGGGAACGCTATTATTGGCCTAGAATGCGAGACGAGGTCACTCAGTTTGTGCGAAAGTGCAAAAGTTGCCTTGAGAACAAACTTGTTAGGGCACGAACTCGAGAACCTATGCTAATAACAGATACCCCAGCAACCCCATTCGACAAAGTGTCATTGGACACAGTGGGAAAATTAAGAACTACCCCTAATGGGAACCGATACATTCTCACGATGCAAGACAATTTTAGTAAATACTGCATCGCGGTTCCCATCCCAGACATTAAGGCCACAACATTGTTGTTTTAGATACAACAATGATGACAACACATTGGCCCTTGAAGTTTCTGTATTTCCTTCCCATCCTGATGACATATGCAAAATTCGAGGATCAGGATAGCCTACGGATGCATGGAGAAGGGTACGACATTACCCCAGTAATTGTCAGCAGTGGGATTTATTTCGAGCACGTTTCTGAAGTCCGAAGATCGACCAGTCGCTGGAGAGTAGCAGTGTTCCTTGACATTGCCAAACAAAGACGTCATTTCAACGACCTAAAAGCACGAATGGAGAGGATGAAAGAACTATGCCAACAACAAGAAAGAAATTGCAATGGACCCCCAGACTCTTTCAACTGGGAAGACAGATGGGAAATGGTAGAGGAAATACAAAACCAGTTCCAAATTCAAATCCGGGAATTACAAAATAGTAAAGAAACATCACCAATCAGATTGTCATCCCAATTGAGAGTAAGACGGAGCGTGCCATTACTTAGAATTTTGGGAAAGATTGCTGGACCAGTGGCCGGTGTCCTAAATTACGACGACGGGGAACGCTACGACGCCGAAATAAGAGAGCTAAACGAGGCACAAACCAACCTCTCACATTTAGTAGGGAAGCAGACCCATGTTATTCGATCTCAGTTAGATACTCTCCACTCTCAGTATCAACATCATGATGCTTGAATTGAACAGATTGAACAAAAATTGAGAAACCTATCATCCACAATTAATGACATCGTATCACCAAAAGAGGAATTAATGCGAAGAGGAATAGTGTCATCCATCTTATCAGGAATAAAACTAGGTCTGGACCACAACATACGAATTACATCCACCATGCTGGATGCAATACATGACGCTCGGAAAGGTCGACTACACCCAGGAATAATCTCATCACAACAACTGGAGCCTATTCTCCGAGATATTCAGGACAACCTAACGCAAGTCCGTTTTCCTCTGCCCGGTCTTAGGGTTAGCATCGACGAATTAATCAAAATAGCGACGACCTCTATTTGGTGCGAGATCGAAAACATAAAGATACTCATTGATATTCCATTATTGGAGGAGTACCGCTATCAAGCGTTCAAGATTCATCCCCTCCCTACCATACAAAAGGACTTAGGTAGTGGAAAACAAAGAGCATACGTGAATTCAAAATACAACTACCTCGTTGTCGATGACGCAAAGCGAACTTACTTGTTTCTTAGTGAAAAGGAGTGGGGAAGTTGCCGAACCACCGCAGCTTATCATGCTTGTCTGGAAGGCGTGCCCATCTACGAACTTCACGAACGACCCTCATGTGAACCTATGCTTCTCCTTAAACCAACTATCGAAGCCATGAAATCCTGTCCAATCAGAATAACATCAAATCTGAATTCTTACTGGACACCGCTAAGAACACTGGCCTCCTGGCTCTATTCTTTTGCAGGACCGGAGATTGTCACTATCTCTTGTCATTCTATGAACCCAATCAACCTAAATTTAACTGGAACCGGAATAATGAAGTTAGCTCCAGGATGTTTTGCGCGAACCGAAGATGTCACCATTCCAGCCAATCCTGCGCAAAAAGGACAATCTGAGCTGATTTATGGAGCTGAATTGCACCTGAACCTATTAGAAATCTCGCCTCTTGTATCCACACACGCCAACCTAGCTCTGACCTTAGAAGAACAACAAGCAGAATTGAGTAACACCAAATCAATAACGTCTCACTTCGACGCCAACTCCAAAACACTCGACGAGTTGGAACAAGAACTACAGGATTTCGCAATACAACGACATTTTAAAAGCAAACAGGCCACTTTAGTTTATGGATCATATGGAGGATTGACCCTAATTGTTGTCTTTATTCTGCTGTATGTCTGCAGGAAGCCTATATTAAATGGAGTCAATACCCTTCAAAACACTGTAAATCCCAAACGAGGACAAGTCAAACTTGAGACCCATTTTCGACCCCAGCCGCCGGAGGTAAACGAGAAAATCATTAAGTCTAAGATCAATGAAACAACGCCTCCGACGGATCTCACCAGTATCAAAGTGCCAAATTCAACCTTAACTGCTGCAGGACCATCGGACGAGAAACAACCGACCGACCAAGGATCAAAAGAAATCTTTAAGACATCAATACCACAGAAGAACGAGTCATCCGAAGGATGTATGCCAACTACATCCAAGTTCACATATTTATCATCACCGAAATCAGTTGTCACATTACCAATACAAGGACTACAACCAGTGTAACCGTAATGTGGTAAGAATGTGCAATTATTAAGGTAAGAGCAGCAATGATTTACGTAGGAAAAAAAATCTGCGGCATGAAATAATAATATCTCATTAGCAAGGGCACCTCGTCATCGGTCTAACCGATAGGAGCTAAAAGCCATTTCACTAACTGCCGACTGAAGCGCCCTTAAGTGCCCGTTCTCCCTTCTACCACGCAACCAAAGGTACCCGCTCTCAGAAGAATAAACTTATGAAGGCGAGTGCCCGTGGCTTGCAGCAGTGTTAGGTCAACACGTTATCATTGCTGATCATTGCCAAATAATTCATTAATGTAACATACATGAGATTTTCCTCACTTGTTCCAAATATAGTGATGTGTTCAATTAATTAATATTTCGTAATATTAGTATATTGATATGGACGTGATTGCTATATAATTGTTATATATATTTGTATATATGTATATATATGTATGTATGTACATATATGTAACTTATTGTATCATTGTAATATTATTATAATAGTTATATGGTAATTAATGTAATAATAATAATAATAATAATAAAATAAATAATTAATAATATATGGGTGACGATACGTCATAATTATTATAGTGATATATATATGTATACGTATATATATACGTATATATATCTACATGGGTATAAACCATACGGTATAAAAGCGGGATTAATTAATCAAGTAAAATTTCAATCATGGGATAATTATATTAAAAAAAAAAAAGAAAAAAAAAAAAAAAAAAAAAAAAACACAACAAAACGAAACAAAAACAAATAAATAAAATTTTAAATAATAATATAGGTATGGACACAATTAGTATGTGTGCTTTTAATATTACATATATCGAATAGGAATTTCTATAAAATTAAAAATCTAACAGTTTTATCACTTTCACTCATAAAAATAAATACAATAAATGAATAATAATAATAATAAATAAACATTATAGTATTATTAAAACAACACATTACTATTATTCTTAAGGGGTGTTTCAAAGGGTTAAAATTTATTAATCTTGAATTTTATTTTTTTTTTTTACACTAAGCAAATTTGTATGATAATTATATCACTCACCGATCGATCATCGGCCAATATCTTGCCGATTACACCCATTGTAACGCTGTAACATCCAAAAGAGAATTCAAGAAGCACCACACCCACTTGACCGCACGTGCACATATTATTAACTTGTCAAACCGACGCGTATCTAAACTATACTAATGAGATTAACGCGATCACGGTCAAGTGCAACCGAATTGAAGCATCCCCACCGCGAAGGTGCGAATGAGTATATTGCATTGGTATGTGTGAACGAATAATAGGAAGAAAGAAAAGAATTATGCGATTTAAACAAACTCGAACTTATTAATTAATTACGACAATTTAATAGTTTTACGTAATTAAATAAACATATATATATATATATATATATATATATATATATATATATATATCCTTAAATAACCGTGTTGAATCTAAGAGCTGCTAGTTTTCGAGGACGAAAACGGAATTTCCATGGTGGTTTGTTGCGCCAATATTAGCAACATAAAAATTATAAATATAATAACAAAACATATATTAAAAATGTTTAAAAATCATTGAAACAAAAATTTAAATTCATTTTATTTCAAAATAATATTTTACTAAAACTCGCTTCAAGTTAGATTGCAGCAGGTTTAAGATCGCGTTACCATGAGGAATTCCCGAAGTCAGCAAAACGACACTTAGAATACAGTGACTTCACTTGGCAACTCACATCCAAAAGAAATAATATATTTTTATTGTTTCAAAAATAATTTTAATTCACGTAAGATGCAAGCCCTTGAAGTCAACACGGATAATGAAAACGTATAAAGGATTATAGAATTTAAAATTAAATATAATACAATCATTATAATTCAATTAATTATAATTATTGTATTGTAATTATTATGATTTTAAAATTTATAATTAAAATTAATATAATTAAAATAATACCGCATTGTAATAGACGGGCATCGTGCGAAGAAAACAAAGGTTGTGTTCAACGACGAAGCGCTCTCTCTCGCTCTAACGGAATGTTCGCGACTCTTTACTCCTATAGCCACAAATGCACGGCGGGTTCTCGCTCGCTCTCATTTAAAATTTAACATAGAATACATACATACCCCGAGATCTTTATGAAATACACATTCGCTTATGTTCCTATACCTATCCTCTCTTTACCCATTACACTTCCCAGACCTACAAGCTATGCTGCCATGCTAACACCAAGCATGTGCATTTCTTTTGATATCTAAACAACTGATCAATTCCAGATCAATATTGGGACAATTGATTTAATGTTGGAATTGTAGTAACCTTTAAAGGGTTACAACATAGAATGGAATTTCTATTTTTGAAATGTCCATTATTTCCAACTTACATTAATCCTATTTTCAGAGATTGATAAAAAAAAATAATAATAATAATAATAATAATAATAATAATAACAAATAGACAAATTAATATTTGTTTCCAAAATTAAAAGAATATTTAAAATGTTCTTTCCTAAGAATAAAAGAAAAGGAATGCATTTCAACATAATGCACCTGCAAAATTGCAAATTCAGCAATTTCGGCATAGCAACAGGTCCAACGCCCTGTCCCCACCTTTCCACATTCTTTCCGGAAGCAAACTATAAAAACACATTAATTACCCATCTAAATTGAACAGTACGGTCTCTACTCGCGAATAAGCGCGTACGATTAAAAATCCCAGGCAGTCTCCCGTCCGGTAACTAGGACACTTTATTGTTTGTATTGTCATACCTACAATATTGTTCGGACGAAAATAAAATCCAACTTACTCCGAAGTCCGCGGAGGCAGCCTAGAAGCCGAATCAGTGAAGATATATTTTATCTTGTTGAAAGACCGGCCGGATCCGCGAAATTTCCGCGTCCGCCCTGTGTTTGGTGGTTTAGGAGTTAGAATAAGAGACAATTTGTGAAAATTTGTTTAGCGCCCGTTGACGAGTGCGACGGTAATTTTTAAGTGCGAACGCCAGGACGGTAAGTACCAATGTATCGTTCCAGGCCAATTAAATCCATTTTCTACCTTTCCTAAAAATTGTACGAGGGGCAGATAATTCGAGTCAATTTAAATTTAATAAATAACTGTATAACTGATATATTTTAACTGTTTTAAATTTCTTTATTCCTTCTTGAGATCTGATAGGGTAGATTTTCCGAATTTTCTAGGAGAATCTCAGCTTCGTGGATATAAATCGAATCCCATAATAATAAACAAGACCTTTAGTCTTGTCAGTTTGAACTTCCGAGAATCTTAAAAATAGGACCAACTTAAAAGTCTACTTTAATTTTAACAATTAATAAATTATCAATTGTTTTAAATATTAAATATTTTTCTGGTTCGTAACACATACTGATGTCAGATTAACCAGTTTCAAACAAATTCAATAAATTTAAAAAATTTTCCGCCATATTGAACCAGATATTTTGAATTTTGAAAAACTGATTTCAGATTCGTAATCAGCGACCCTGAAAATCCCCAAGTATTCAGTTTCAAGTCAATCTGATCAATTTTTTATTTCGTTGTCCGCCATATTGGATCCGCCATTTTGAATTTTAGAAAACTAATGTTAGATTCGTAATCAGCGACCTTTAAAACCCCCAAGTAACAAGTTTCAAGCAAATTCGGCGAATTTTAAAAAAATTTCCGCCATCTTGGATCCGCCATTTTGAATTTCGAAAAACTGATGTCATTCGTAATCAGCGACCCCAGAAACCTTAGGGTACCAAGTTTCATAAAAATCCATTAAAAATTTTTTCAACACACTTTTGACCCAAACAGTGGAAATCTCGTTGACAGCCAAGGGGTTAAGAGAAAAGATTTGTTTGTTTCAAATAAATAGTTTTAGTTAACGTATTTGGTTCCTATAAATATTTTTGTTTACTAAATTTTGTTATTTATTTTCCTCTAATAACATTTGAATTTCCTAATTTAATATTTTCTAGTACATATATTATTGGTTAATTTATAATTTAATATAATATAATTATTGATATTTTAAAATTATACGTATAATAAATCATAAATTAACCAATAATATGTATACTAGAAAATATTAAATTAGGACACTCAAACATTATTAGAGGAAGATAAATAACAATTAAGTAAAATATTATATATTTCTTCATATAAACAAAATTACTTAATTATAAAAAAACGTTTAAAATATTACATTAAACTACACTGTAAAAAAGGTACGAATTTAGTATAATTTAAGTATTTATTTAACCGACACTTATAATTTTGTTTCTTTGATTTACCGATTTAACTATAATAAATTTGACACGATCTCACTGTAGACAAGTGAGATCGCCATTTTTAAATTCACACATGTACTTTTTGAGACAAGCAAATATTTTTGTTTGATTCAAATAAAATGATTTGTTTGAATCAAACAAATTTGTGTGTTGTGTAGAACAAACTGTATTTAACTAAACAATATTCTCTATTCAAAACACAAATTTGGTTAAATGAAACAAACAACTTCAAATAAAAAATTTCTTTCCAATAACCAAACAAATTTTACGTATTTATTAAAATGAACCAAATTTTTATTTAAATCAACAAAATTGTTTTATCGTGACAAATAAAAAATAGGTTAATTAAACAGTTTGGTTAGGTGAAATAAACTTTTTCTCTGAGTGCTGTCTGGAATTAAGAATTCTCTAAAGTTTCTGTAACATTTCAGCACTTTTTTTCTTAATTCAGCAGATTTTTAGCCACGAAAAACATTTGGGATGATTGGACCTAATGCATCGGATAATTGAGCAATCAGTCCAATTGTCCAAATGCCGTTTGGACAATTGAGCAGACGCCTTGCTCAAACGTAAAAAATGCTATGTTAAAAAATCCTTTTTTACCAGGTTATTCCATAATACCAATCAGAACACTTAATTGAAGTTATACTGAATCTATCAGTACAAGAGACTTTTCATTCCAGCTGCTACAACAAAAGTTACCTTAGCACAAAGTTAAGCTTTCCTTAGAACAAAAGTATCAAATTTTTATTTTTTCCAATAGAATTTTTTTAATGACGCGTGTTGTCATGACAGTTTCACTGATTCATAGGTATGACATTGGCAACGTATTACCGTAATTGCCTAAAAGGTGGCGCTAATAGTCTCTTCAAAATTCAAAAGGATCATCTCGTACACCTTTCCCCTAATTATTCTTTTATGATTTTTAATTAGCAGAGTATTAAAATTAATTCAACTCTTTCAAACAATTTTATTATTATTACATTCTTATCACATGAGAAAGTATTAGTTTTGGTCGAAAATTGACTTTAGCTAATTTTATGAAATCTCGACGGTTTGGGGTACCCTAAGTCCGAAAAACATGGCCTAG